TGTATCTTCTAGTAGATCTAGTACATATTTCCGTTGGGAAATAAAGATGCCCTTGTGAGAGCGGGCAACTTTAATTCCAAGGAAATAACGTAAGGGGCCTAGATCTTTCACCTCAAATTGAGTGGCTAAGAATTTTTTGTCTTTGTATTTCAGCCTCCCAATTTCCTATGATCACTATGTCCACATACACAACTAGAGCTGCAATTTTCCCTTCACCTTTTTTCACAAATAGAGTGTGATTTGACTGGCATTGTTTGAACCCCATATGTTGAACTGCTAAGTGGAACTTACTAAACCAGGCCTGAGGTGATTGTTTCAACCCATATAAAGATTTTTTTAACTTGCGCACTTTTTGTTCACTGCCTTTGGCACAAAAACTGGAGGTTGGGTCATGTACAATTCCTCTTCCAAGTCACCATTCAAGAAAGCATTTTTGATGTCCAATTGGTGAAGTTCCCAGTCAAGATTTGCTGCCAATGAAAGAAGAATCCTGATAGAATTCATCTTGGCTACTGGACCAAAAGTCTCTGCATAGTCCACTCCATATACTTGTATAAAACCTCTTGCTACCAGTCTAGCCTTGTACCTTTCAACAGTTCCATCAGCCTTGTGTTTCACTGTGAACACTCACTTGCAACCCACTGGTTCTTTCCCTTCAAGAAGATCCACCAACTCCCAAGTGCCATTTTTGTGTAATGCATCAATTTCTTCCTACATTGCATCTGTCCATTCAGGTTTGGATAAAGCTTTTGCCACATTCTTAGGAACGGGGACATTGTCCACAAAAGAGAGGAATGCACGGAATAAAGGTGAAATGTGATTATAGGACACAAAATTAGAGATAGGATGATTAGTGGTACAAGATCTAACACCCTTTCTCTTAGCAATAGGAACATCAAGATCATTAATGACAGGGGAATCAACATTGAGAGGAACAAGCATATCAATAGGAGCAAGTGTACCTGGCTGATGAGAAGGATCTGCCTCTGGCAAATCCGACGATGTTGGTTGCATAGTATTAGGTTCCACAGCTCTTGAACTTTGCTGGCTTTTATGGCGGCAATGAAAGACACGGAATGGAGGAGGGTCAGGTAGAGGAGGTAGTTGAGTTTGAGCCGCCTATTTCTCCTCAACCCTATTCTCCCCCTGAGGAGAAACCGAGAAGAAAGGTTGATTCTCAAAGAAGGATACATCGATGGAGACATAGTACTTGTGAGAGGTAGGATCATAGCAACGATACCCCTTTTGAGATAAGGGTAACCAAGGAAAACACAAGGTAGGGGACAAGTTATGGACAAAGCAACGACACCCAAAAACACGCATTGGAATGGTGGACAACGGAGCTGTAGGAAACATAAGCTAATGTGGGGCCTTATACTCTAGTAACCGAGATGGCATATTGTTGATGATGTATGTAGCACACAAAACTGTATCCATTCAAAAACGTTTTGGCATATTCATATGAATTAATAAGCCACGAGCTACTTCGAGAAGGTGACGGTTCTTTCGTTCAGCAACACCGTTTTGTTGGGGTGTCCTGGCACAAGAGCTTCGTTGAAGTGACCCACTCGAAGCAAAAAACCCCGTGAGATCACTATGGAAGTATTCCTTCGCATTGTTTGACTGGAAGATATGGATTTTAGTTTGGAACTGAGTGAACACCATGCGTTGAAAGTCTTTCACAATTTTTGGTACTTCATCTCTAGATCGCATAGGGTAAACCCAAGTGTATCTAGAGTAATCATCRWTCAAGGTAATGAAGTACTTATATCCARCCTCAGTAGGTAGAGTAACAGGGCCCCAAACATTAGAATAAACAATATGAAATGAAAATTTAGATCTTTTATTTCTCAAAGGAAAAGAACTTCTACAATGNAGATCTTTTATTTCTCAAAGGAAAAGAACTTCTACAATGTTTACTCAATTGACATGTCTGACACTGTAACTGACTCACTGACAAGGACTCAAACAACTTTGGGAACATAACTTTTAATGACTCAAAAGAAAGATGACCAAGACGACTGTGCCATAAATAGGCTTGACTCTCACTGGACGAACTCATGGACTTTGTAGCCACAAGACTAGCTTTATTCTCTAACACGTAGAGACCATCCACCATGCTTCCTCTACCAATCGTCTTCCTCGAGGCCAAATCCTGAAACACACATGAAGACGGAAAGAAAGTGACTGAACAGTTCAAGGAGTGAGTAATACTATTAATGGACAACAAATTTATAGGTAATTTCGGAACATGCAGTACATTAGAAAGGGTAAGGCCGAGTGGAAGAGGTATGGTGCCTTGGCCAGTTATGGTAGAGAAAGAACCATCAGCTAGTCTCACCTTATCTCTCCCAGAGAGAAGGTTATATGTCTGAAATAAATTTGACTTWYCRGTCATGTGGTTTGAGGCTCCGGAGTCAATAACCCAAGGAGAATCAGTAGTATGAGATGACATATGGAAGGCAGTGGCAGCGTTACCTGATGTAGACGTAAAAGAGGTAGAGGGAGTAGGACCAGAATCCATTTGGCAGAGAGTCCTACCATACAATTTTAAATGGTCACGAAAGGAGTTGATAATTTCTTCCTTAGGGTCAGAACTGAGATGCCTCTCCTGAGTTACCAATGGACCAGTCTCTTGAGATGCCATATTAGTTGAGTTATACTTTTTCTGATTCTACTGAATTGATTTCTTGCTCTGATCAGGTGTTGACTTCTTACCCAAATTCTATGCCCATTTAGGTTTTCTATGGAGATCCCAACATGTATTTCTGGTGTGTTTTGTCTTTTGGCAGTGAGTGCACCAAAGTTTACTCTTATCATCTGTTCTCTTCTGAGAGTCACCTTTCTTAAAAGCACCTCCGACATTTGTATCTGAATTTCCCTGGACAGCTAGGGCAATTGACTCCCCCTCTVCACAATTCATCACACTTCTTCTACTCTCTTCTGACTGCACTAAGGCACACACCTCCTGAACTGATGGCAAGTCTTTACTACCCAAGATCTGCACCCTGATAGACTCATATGAAGGATTCAGCCCTAGGAGGAAGGCAAAGACCTGTTGCTGAGATACAAGTGACTTATATGCCTTTGCATCTTCATCACACTTCCAATTCACATTCTGGTAGTGATCAAGTTCTTTCCGTATCGATGCCAAATCAGAATAGTACATCGAGAGAGTCCTCTCCCCCTGTTTGCAAGTAGAGGATTCAGCTTGCAGTTGGTATATCTTGGCATAGTGTCTCTGCTCTGAATAGGTGGACTTTGCTTGTTCCCATATCTCACAAGCAGTTTCAGCCCACATAAATGTCTTCCTTACTTGTGGCAGCATGGAAACCAAGAGCCCTGACATCACCATACTACTCTTGGTTCCACCTATCATATTCAGCACTTCCGTTCTTCGGTTTCTTCACTCTCCCATTGATGTATCCTATTTTCCCCCTAGCAGTGGTGTAGAGTTTTATTCCCCTAGATCACTCAAGGTAGTTCAGACCATCAAAGGGAATAACAGCCATGGGGAAATTCATATCCATTCCCCCATCCACTCCATTGTGGCTCCCTGAAATCTCTAAAGTAGCAGAATTCTCAGATGACATGGTAAACACAGAGTTTTTTTGATCTAAACTCTCAACTTAGGATCCCTCCTTTTATTGACAAAAAACTCCAAACACAACAATTCAGTTCTGGACTTAAATCTGAGCACAGAAAACAACAACAATTTCCAAAGAAGAACTATGGCAAGACTGATTTTCAGATCTGCATGAAGAACAGTCCCAACCTACTGGTTTTCTAGTAAGTTCCACAGCATTAATCAATAAGAGAGATCCTAACACATGAAATCAGACTAACGAGCAGAGAAAACAGGTCATCTGTGACCTACAGTCACCTTTTCACAGGTACAGGATCACACGATCCAACAAATAAAAGAGGTATAACCCTCACRAAAGTCTGCYRACATTYAGTGGTTTGGATTCATTTGTTCTCCACTTGGTACACGACCAAGGAAAGAAATAAAAGAAAAAAAAAGCTTTAGGGTTGTACCAGTTGCAGATCTGATTTGATCAGCCCAGATTCAATCCTCTGTTTCGCTCAGATTCAGCAACTTGAAGAGAAAAATTGATCGCCTAGATTCAACAGCCTTACTCTGATACCATCTTGGCAATAAATCCGATTGAAAAATGAGGAAGAAGAGAAGAGAAGGGAAGAAGAGAGAAGAGAAGGAAGAAAGGAAGAAGAAAAGGTTTGGAGCAATGGAACAGTACTGGCGGCGCCAGCTTCTATTATATTATATTAGGGCAACAAAAATAAGAAGGGAAAAGACACCTGTGCCCCTGCTGTAAGTGAAGTACAATAACAGAAAATAAAATAAAGGCTTTAATTAACCAAACAGACCCTAACATAAATAACTAAATTATTTGAACATATATAATATACATAAATATATATAAAATATATAGAAATATATGTATACCGGTTGGTTCGGTTAACCGCTGGTTTTCTATATGGGTTAACCAAAATCGAACCGGTACCTTCGGTTTTTTAAAATACTGAACTGAAACCGAACCGACCGGTTTGGTTAACTGGATTTTTGGTTCTGTTTCGGTCAGTTTTTCGGTTTGGTTCGGTTTTTCGGTTTTTCTTGCTCACCCCTAGCCATCACTCTTGCTGTTAACTATTATACTTCACTCTTCTTTCTCTAGTGGATGGAAAGTCGTTCAACCACCTGCATTTTGTGTGTGTTAATCTCTCCTTTCCTGATGTGCCTTGGGTTTAGCCTAATATCCTCTTATAGCTCCTGTCTGGAGTAGCAAAAGTTGTACTAAGCAGGTTTTATTTGTAAGATTTGTCCATTTTGTGAGTTGGAATACTTCTTGCTTTCTATGGCAGTCATGACTGGCTTTGATGTATTAGTTAAAAAATACAGAAAGAAAAAGGCATTTTGTAGAATTGGTAGGAAGATTATCTTGAGGACATTTTGGGGAATAAAATTGTTGCACATATGAAGCTGATAATAGTAACATAAACCCATAGGTAGCCCAATACATTGTCATTTGCATTTTATAGTACTTAAATCATAGAGGCCCATTCAATTCTTAAATACTGTCACATCATGCAAGAAGAGTAATTTGTAAAAGTGGAATTAATTACTTATTATTTGTGGTATTTTATACAGATACTTGGCACGGGATTTTCTATTGTTTTCCTAAATCTTGGACAGCGGCAACACGGAGAACTCAGGTATAAATTTTGATTTAGGACCTTGTAGTCATAACATTTTTTTTTTCAAGTTTAGAGTCTTTAGACATGGGCTCATAGGCTCTTGACGGAACAGTGAATATCACCTTCTTCATAAAGCTACCAACATGTTTGCAACACCACACTTCAATTTGCTCATTTTGTTACAATTTCATGTCAACATGTCACTAGATATTCTTACCTGTCAAAATGAAAAAGGTCATCTCCATTTCAGTTTAATGCAAAATAAGGTCATCTCCATTTTTTTGATGGAGATAGGCAGAAAAGGAGGTAGTGATATTCAAAATAAGGTCTTCTCCATTTTTTTTTATGTCAAAAGATGATCCAGGGCATTCAACCGGGGACTACAACAGTTGACAGTAGAGTCTAGATTTGGGAAAAGTCTCCATTTTTTTTGTAACATGATCCAGGGCATCTCCATTTTACTGCAAAATGGATATGGATAGAAAAGGAGGTACTGATATTCAAAATAAGTTCATCTCCATTTTTTTATGTTAAAATATGGTCCAGGGAATTCAGCTGGGGACTACAGCAGTTGACAGTAGAGTCTGGATTAGGGAAAAGTCTGTTGAATGCATCCTCTCCAAGGTAGCTTTTTATAGGTTTTTATCCCATCAGCAGCAGGTGGCTGATTTCCCTTGGTCAAAAATCTGGAGTAAATACATCCCATCCAAGATAGCTTTTCTGATCTGGACTGCTACCCTTGGGAAATACTTAACCACTGATAAACTGATCAGAAGGGGTATGGATTGGATTGAAAATACCTGCAGTCTGTGGCTCTGAGGTTGAATCTTCAGATCACTTCTTCATCCATTTCAGTTTCACATGTCAGCTTTTGTTATGGATGCATTCGTGGGAAAGACATACTGCCGCCGGCAGCAGCAATGAGGAGGGGCCCACACGACAGCTTATCCTGCCAGCTCTCCACCAGCTTACCTTATCCCATCTATTCTTACTTTATCTATTAGACATAGGAGTTAAGTTCTGTTCTTAGTAGGAGTTTGTTTACCTATTAGAAGTAGGAGTTTGATTTAAAGTTGGATTATCCTAGCCTAGTCGAATTCAATAAGGAGTTACCTCTTG